TTTGCTCTGTTTGTTGTGGGACTCGTGAAGCACAGAAGGATGAGTCGCCCCTTCTTTGTGTTCATGGTTTGTTTTTTACTGTTAAGATTTAGTGAGAATTCCATTTTCCAGCTTTCAAACACAAATTTTGAGGCAGGCGCTGATTTTACACATTCTGATAGAAAAGAGATTTAATGTCTGACCATTACAATCATAATATTATTACATCATTGCAACTGACTGTAAAACTTAAAGCTACGATTCCTTTCCTTCCTTGACTGCTACCCTTGTCATCAGACATGTTACTGTTTGTCAAATCGAAAATAATGCCTCCATGTTAGTAGATGGGACATTGACCCAACTAAAAAAGTCAAAGTGCAAGTCAGATACATTTTCCTCAAATATGGTTTCTTTCATTTAAGATCGTTTTGATCACATTGATGTCTACAAGGTTATTTTACCAGGGACGTTTGGTTTTAATTTGTTATTTGATGATAAAAACCAGGTGAAACATCATAACTGACAGCTGAGACTGACTAGTGATTGGTTGAGCACTGTATCTGTGGGACTTCACTACTGTGGCTCCAAATGTGAAAGATGGCAGCTTTCATATCCAAGATATTGTGTCTTCATTTCTGGATTATGGGAGGAAATGGAGATTCTATGCTCAACACATAAAAAACAAACACTGAAAATACTCTTTTTACCACTTAGAAGGTTTTACAAGCCTTGAGAGAGCTGCTTCTCACTCTCTGAACCTCGCATTTGATCAAATTCAGCTTTTTCTGTGACATCTATGGGCAATCTCTAATTCGGTGCGCATTGTTTAGAGTGGTGAGTCATTTGTCCTTGGAGTACAGGCTCTCCTCAGTGTGCCACTGCACCTAAAACTGTAGAGTGCTACGGGCGAACGTAAAGAGTTCCCCCCTCTGAGCTGGAAAGGGTCAAAGCAGCACCTTCAAATAACATTTCTGGTGTTTGGCAAAACAAGGAGAGGCAGAGGGAAGAACAGTCACCTAGCTGCTGCACAGTCCTTCCTCTCTCCTCACATTCACACACTGCGGCACACATATACATAGCGGACACAAACACACACAGGGCAGCAGCCTGTGTTCTCCTTAAACAGGCACAAGCACGGGCAGTCTGTTGTCTCTGGCAGCCAAACAACCGGCCAATGACGTGTCTCGGTGTGTCAGAACATGATGGATAGTTTAAATTGCCATTATCCGAAAAGGTTATGACAACAGAAACACATCCTGTGATGTCTGAAAAGCAGAAGTTTACTCAAGAACACTTAGAGCAGGATGAGGCTGCAAACTGTACACATGTGTGTGACTTGGCGATGAACCAAAGGCAGTGACATGCTCCGTTTACATTTTCACAGACAGGAAATAAAACACAGAGGTGTCAGTGGAGTGTGTAACAATACATTGTACATGGGCATGTTCGAGTGTGTGACTATTATATACAACAGACTATTGGTTGAATTGACATGATTTGTACTTGACAACTTTTTACTGTTCCTCATAAATTTAAATAGAGGAGAGGAGAGGAGGAGACCTCTGTGCTGTGGATGATATTATCAGGTCTTAAATCGTGCTGTGTCTCTCGCTCCTGTCTGTGCGTGCCAAACCGTCCGAGCCCAGAGGTCTTAGTAAACCACCACAAAGCTAATTAGTTGTCCACAACAACAAAAATCCATTATCATAATGAGTCACCGCTTGCAGTGTTTTGAAAATGCTGTCTGTTCTAAATGTTTTGTGCTCTTGAATGTACCTGTTGTACTTTTAACACTCACTGTGGGATGAAGACTAACTTAACACCAGGCAGAGAAAAGATGTTTTCATCACCCTGTACTTAAAATGCTTGGACGTGTTCTCAATAGCAGCTGTAACCACGACCACCAGTGATGTCATGGTGCACTGACATCCAGATGTACACCACTGCAGTAACTTCTGCCTGCAGCCTTGTAATCAAAACAACAACGGAAGACATAGTTTGATGATGCCTTAAAGCAGCATGGAATCATGGGAGTTGTTGTCTTCACCACCATTTGCTGATGAAAATCTACCTGACGTAACTCAGGCACAAATCGGAAACATGGATAAGTTCACGTATTTAAATTGTATTCATGTTATGCAGCAAACTGCAATGAATCAATGTGATCCATTACAAGTGACCAATACAAACTGCTGACTAGCTGACTGGCTAACCGTGTGTTTTCCCTTCATATATCGTTTGCTCTGGAAGTTACAGCAGAAAGGGACAAATCCACCAGTGGATATAACGAAAATAAAGGCAGGCAAAATGAAACAAATTGGGGATTTCTCTGGGTTTGAACATTGTTGGAAACACCTTGGACAAAAGTTAACAAAACATATAACATGCGTCTCAGTGTTTCTAGAGATTTTAATACAGAATTGTGACAAATTATCTATTAAAATGTCTTATTTTCCATTGCTGATTAAGTTAAGTTGTTTTCTAACTGCTCAAATCTTTTTGCTCCAAACAAAAACTGCTGCCTCTAAATTAAAACAGATTTATTTATTAGCATCAAAACTACTTTAAAAGGTAAAGAAAATACTCAAATATGTGTTTTTTGACAAAGATCAATCATTTAACACATACAAATGTATGCAGATGCTCAGGATCAGTCCCGTCATCCGCTCCGAGACGTCACAACATAAAGCAGAACGACAGTAAATGTATACGATCAGGATGTACAAGAGTGGTTGTGTAAGCAGTCTCACGGATAACCTGATGAGAGCCAACCATGACACACACACATGCACAAAAACATCCAGTTCTCTTCAACAACTTCACAATGATAGATGACACTCTTACAACGTTTCCTCATTACAACTGGAGGAGTGTGTCTGGACAACGTCTCCGAGGGCAAAGGGCAAAGAATGCTATTATCACGGCCACCTTTGCCAGATGTGATTTATAGGGTGTTTATAGGGTGATGTACAGCAACCACAGGGCTGAACCCTGCTGGACACATGTGGCCGAGACTGAAACTGTTCCCTTATAGTGCACCTGCGGGTCGCCATACATCACAGCTGAGTGATGGATGTACAGTTGCTTACTGACTTTATTTTATTATTTTATTTAATAACTTGACTACATAAGAAGCAATCAAATAACATGAAGTAAAAACGACTTTGCCTGTCCTCCCTCAGCCCCTCTGACATCCAAACTGCAGATTAAATAAAGATGTAGAAATCATAAACTGGCACATTTCCACTGTCCATTGTGATGGGATGACTGAAACATGAGATTTACGCCCTGATTGCACTGACCCATGTTGTATAACACCACTGTAATAAAACACTGCTCTTACGTTACATCATAACTCAAACTGCTAATGGGGGGGAAAGAAGACACCTCATAAATTTCTGATGCATATACACGAAAACAAACTGTGGCTGATCTATCGGACAGATGTTTAGACTGATTGCTTTGACTTGTTTCTCAGAAATTCAGACATCGCAAAGCTTTTTAAAGCTTTTTTTCTTTACAAAGAACCAATTTATATAATTTAGTTGAATTAGATGAAGGACTTGAAATGGCTTTATGTGACCGCGTCGCGTCCTTTTTTAAATCCTCTCATAAAATCTGGGACAAACAGGTGAAGGCTACTAACTTGTCCTCAACCGTGCAATCTGCTGCATGGGAGGAAGAGGATGATGTGATTTAAGGATTTTAATCCAGGAAATAAAAAAATGATGAGTAGCGAGATGATTATTGCCAGAGCTAAATTCTGCTTTTTGTTGTTTGTACGTTCCTGCTTTTCGTTTTTTTCTGGTTTGTTTTGGAAGCACAAACTAAAAATACATGCTTAAAAAATGTTCACCTTACAATCCTCTTTGCACAAAATACATGCTAATGTGTGTTTGGCTATATAAATGTTCATTTGCGCATGTTTGAATGTTTTAATCTATCATATTAAGAAACCAGTCTTGTGTTCAATCTCACTTTGGTGTTTAAGATTAATTTCTGTGCCATTGGAGGACTAGCAAAGTAATAATTTCACAGTGTTTTCACTGTGCATGTTGGAATGAAGAATATCAAATCTAAACAAAGTGCATGTCACCACACTGAAAAGAGAAATTTGTTGGACCAACGTTTAAGAGTACTTATAATTGTGACAAATTAATTTGTCAAACTTAAAGTTAATTAGTTACATGAACACAACTGTTAACTTAACAAAAAAACAAATTTGCTCCAGCAATTTTCTTTTTTCCTGTGCAGGCAGGGTAGTGAATGAAGTCACCTAACTTCCCCTTGACATTAAAAATGTTGTGTATGGGCCTAAATGACAAAACCATACATGTCCCCTTAACGTGTCCTTAACATGTGAACTTAAGACTGATAAATGATATTGTTTAAAAGTTGTGTGACAGGTTTATATCCCATGTTGATCCCCTGGTTAAACTTCCACAGAGCTGTGTATGACAGGATTACTACAGTTAATATGGCTGCTCCATTTTCCAGCACAAGCCAGGAAATGTTCATATAAACATGGGCATCCATCCACCAAGCACTGAGTCACATCCAGGTTCAGAATGAACAGAGAGACACAGGGAAGAGCTGAAACGTGAGTGAGGAAGGAATCTTAGTGTCTATGGTGGGAGGGGAGAGAGGGGGAGAGAGGGGGAGAGAGAGACTATGTGCAGGAGTGCAGGCAGTGGCCTAGATGTGTGAAACGCCAGGGGATGTTGTTTTTTTGGTTCACTGGTTGACTTTTTCAGTCTTTGACCAAATGAGATGGGGAAGTTCTGAGCAACAGAACTTCAAGTAAAGTTGTGAACCACATCATTTAGCAGTTTTTCAAACTTCTTCAGGTTTTATTCTGCAGGCTGACCATCACTTGTCCGGTGTTTTTGTGCCAGTTGCGCACGGACAACACGCACCAACATGGGGGAATACAGGTGGAACAGGTAGACTTCCACTCACAGACTGAAACTCAGTATTTCCCCGGGACGGTCAGCGCTGCGCCCCGGTTGAGTGACACAGCCATGGCCTTGGAGGCGAACGGCCACAGAGGTTTATCAAGGAGCGCTCATGAAAAATATCCCCGGGCGGCGTTGGAGCGCAACGGCTACGTGAGGACATGTGTCAGCCCGCTGCAGCAGGACGCAGGGAGCCAGTCGTGGCTGAGACTCGCCGTGACATGGACTTGCAGAAGATTGTCGTCTGCGGTGTGCGTCGCCTCCGTCTCCGTTATTCTCGCTCTGCTGCTCACATTGGTCGACTGGGATGCAGGCAGCAGCAGCAGGAGCAGCGGAAATAGCAGCGGCTCCGGCTCAGGTCTTCACTCCGCGGCGGGCTGCGCAGTGGAGGTGCTGTTGACTGTGTATTACAGCGTCTCCCCGGTTTTCTCCCTCGTATGTGCCTTCTTCTGGGTCGGGCTGTATCTGATCCGCTGCGGCGTGCTCGTCCGCTCCGCGCTCTTCTTGTTAGCGGTGTGCCACTTGGGCGAAGCCGCGGCACAGTCTCTCCTGCGCGGCGCCGAGGAGCAGCTGCTGTCCCTTCCCGCGACCCTGGTAGTCCTCGGCAGCCTGGGCAGCGGGGCTCTGCTGGTCGTCCGGCTGGGTCAGGGAGTGTCGATCGTCGTCTTCGTCAGCCTCATCCGGGCCGTGTCCCTCGTCTCTCTGAGCAGGGTCCGGGCCAGCTGGAGACCCTACCTGGCCTACCTGCTGGGGCTGCTGGGGGTTTTGCTTGCGCGGTATGCTGACCGGCTCCTGCCGGCCTCAGGGACCGGCGGGACGGGGTGCTGTGGCTCTGTGACCGGGGCGAAGGAGGAGGACATCCCTGTCTTCAAAAGGAGACGGAGGTCCAGCTCCATAGCGGCCTCGGAAATGATGGCTCATTGTCACAACAACAGCAAGTCCCACCGCAGGACTTCGCTGCCATGCATTCCGCGGGACCAGGTAAGACATGTCCAAGTTTGAACATCTGGACACAAAGAAGGTTTCAGCACAGCTGTGATTCTTTCTGAAGACTGCGGGCCTCTGGGTTCCTCTGTGTCTGATGGCATGTGTGGCAGCTTTACGCGCGTCTAACTCCTGACTCCGGGCCATGTTATAATTGAGCTTGTAGCCATCAAGCTTTATTGTGATGATGGTAATGGTTTGTTTGCGCTACAGGCCCACGTCTCCAGCCTCTCGGACCCATCACTGGTCCTGTATTGCAACATGCGCACCGTGCAAACACTGCTGTTAATTTGGTCATCACCACTGTGCTGTGCGCTATGTTTGTGCTGCTGATAAGCAAATGGAAGGTGCACTTAGCATGCCAAGTTACTGTGTGTCCCGTGATCGCGTTAGTGTGTGTGTGTGTGTGTGTGTGCGTGCATCGGTGTGCGGTCACATCTAAATATTTTGAAAGCCTCTGTGTGTTTATCACGGTGCTGGCCAGTGGCGTGGCGCACGTGTTCCCAAACTTACACATAATGGAGCCACATTAGATTAAACTGTGACCTTATAATAACCTCATGGTGTGTTATATGTAAAGATCACTGCATTGGAAAGAGGGGGTGTGAATCGTTAAGTTGCATGTATCTTATCTGTTGTTGCTCTGACGTGGTGACATGGACATATATGGACATCATAGAATGAGGTGTTAAATGTAACCCAGAATAATTAGATGACCCCAAATGCTGGAATGAAGTGGACGCTGTGCCCTGAATGTTGGTTCTATGAGCTCTTTTGGAGCTTGAGGCACATCTTGTTTTTTAACAGACTTGAGATATTCACATCCTAATAGAATCCAAACTATACTGGATCATTGGGGCCAATGCTGAAACCAATCTTAAAATCCAATGTCAATACATTGATTCTATATAAATAAAGGCTTTATATACTCTTGCTTGCTATAGGTTGTTGTTATAGTTTATTGATCCATATAGTAGAGATGGTAGTTTATGGGTTTTATTGTTTCTATTCACCTGCTCCTAACAAATGGAAATTTGCTTTATTCACCATTTGTTACAAAGCATCTTGTCTTGTTTGAGCTCAATGTTTTATGTAATTTCACAATTTTAAAATGATCCTAAGCATCTCTATATATAAAAAAACATTTCATATTAGCGTTTATATACAGATACCCATGGGTATGCATTTAGAGCTTGTTGATATTGGCCAAACATATATTGGTCACGCTTTACAAAATAGAACAGATTTCAGCATTTTAACACACACAGACATTAAGGTTGTTAAACACAGCACTGTTCAGAATTATTTTGGAATCAACATCATCTTCGTCATGTTCTGATTGAAACGTGCGACCGTGAGAGTGTGCATCTTAGAGCATCCTTTAACGGCACACCATAACATATATCTGTTTGTTTTAAAATAGAATAAGTTCTTACAATAATAAAATAATACTCTTTAAAATAATTGTCCTCCATTAGAGTTAGTCGTAAAAAAAGTTTGTATGATCCTGTTAGTTGTACATAGGCAACATCACAAATGTGAATTGAACTATTCACTAATGGTGCTGTTATTGTGCCTAATCTACAATATTTACCTTGACCTCAATACTGAGCCTTACAACATCAGCTAGACTGTTTACTTTGCAGTTACAAGTATCCCTGTACACTCAGTATACTTATTAGTGCCACACTATGACTTGACATTAAGCATTTAATAAAAACTGTGACTCAGTTTGAAACACCTTTCAGATGTGTCATTCCTGCAGGATTAGTCCTATATCTATATCATATCTATATTTAGCACATCAGCTATTTTATTATATGTACAACTAATGAAGAATGGTGAGACAGAATCTATTTAGTAACACAAATGTGAGAAAAATAATTCAAGAATGTTCTATATTGCATCAGTTGAAGCCGGCAAAGAAAGAAAGAAAAAAATGTGAATAATCTTCTTTAGGCACAGAGTGTGGAGTGTGTGTTTTTAGCATGTATTGTTGACAACTACTTATAATGGTTATCAGTATCATCACAACTCACTTTCTGTGTTGCATTTGTGTGTAAATGCCTCACTTCATGTACAACATACACACAAAGAGTAATACAACGTGAGACAGTGGAACATATTTCAACAACTGTCGGATTTAAATAAACAAAACATGTTGGGTGGTTAACTAAACCAAGTGACATGTGCAATAGGCGAAATACAGCAGCACAACGTGTTGTGTGTTAACATGTAACACTGTTGGCTTTAGTCTGTGTTACTATGAGCTATTAGCAAGTTAGACGGATAAACTATGATGTTTTCTCCAAGTCTGAATCATTGTGGGATTGTGCATAGAGCCATTTTTTTATGCCCCCAAGTGTTGCCCCCTTTCACAGTAATTTTCTATCTGTGCTGCAGACAAAGTGACTTTGGTCCAGTTTCCCTCAGCCGTCTTATAAATCCAAAATATGACCACACTTCAGCCTTAACTCCTTTTAGAAGGCTGAAAAATCTCTGGAGCACGGTCTCTGTCTTCAGCCATGTTTTTATTGAAGCAAACAAAACCTATGTTGCATGCTGCTCCTGTAGTGGGAGACTGTTGCTAACTTGGGTTAGTGCAGTATTAACCAAAAGTGCAGTAATTTTAAAGTTTTATTGGTAATTCAAATTCTAAATGATATTTACTAACCACTGGGAATTTTACCATGGTTTACAATGAAACTTGTTTCAACACTAACTTGCATGCAGGTTCCTTTTCTGTCTCTCACTCCTGGCAGCTAACATGTCATAATTAACACATTTGGATAATAAATTATTTAAGCTCTGGGTTTTGACCTCTGAAACTCATTCCTTCATGTCCATGAATGTCTCCTCTACGGAAGGTTGTTCTCTTGCCCCAAACTGTGCTCATGCCCTCTAGTGACAGCCTGATATAAAACCACGAGTCGTTGGGGGAGTTAGAGTGAAGCTGCTGATGTTACTGCCACATGAGAGACAATGATGGGGGATCTATACATATGTATGTTCAGTGGATGAATGTGCAGCGGACATTCATGGTAATCATCCTGAGTGGGTGAGTCATGCTCATGTACACTGTGTCTCAGATAGAACCATGGAAAACAGAAGATGAAAACCTAATAGCAGTAATTAAATGGCTCATCACTTCTCTCCTTGTGATTTGTGGAGTAATTGTAGTTGACAGGCCAAATGCTCAGAGGTATAAACACCTCACACAACCTTGTGTACTTGCACACTAGCCTTCATACAATCCAATTTATGGTTTACACAAAGATTTACTGGATTAAAAAAAAATGAAAATTTGTAGAGCACATACATTCGCCAGGGCTCAACAGATCCCTTATGAAATAAAAGTGTATTCACTAGATCTAGATTTGATTTGGCTCAACAGCAAATTGCACAAATTGATAACTACCAGTTCCCTTAATATGCCTGATTTTATCCAAGAGACATACATTATTCACTGAGAAATCAATGAAAATGTTGAAAAAATCTGATGATATCAAATCAAAATATTAAATCCTGGATCCACTCCTGATCCAGATCTGCTCCAAAATGGAATGGGTCATGCTCCACCCCTCCACAAAATGTACAGAATCTGTTGAGTAGTATTTGCATAATCTTAATAATTAACAAACAAATGGAAACAAAAACATAATCTCCTTTATGTCCATTTGTAAGAAATCATTGTTAGCTTCTTCAGAGAGGACACTGGTTAGAGTTACCAAGCTCAATATCAGATTTGTATTTATTTTCTGTGTTGTAGCAGAACTCTGTCCCCGGCCACTAAACTCTTTATACAAAGTCACTCGTGTGATTCCTAATCAAGGTGTTAGGTAATCTTATTGATTATACCAATAGCTATTCCCATCGATTCAGCTCTGTAAGCCTGAAATGAGTGTTTCCATTTGAAGCACAGTTTACCTGAGATTGTTCTCACTCTGAGCCAGCGAGGGCCCCATCAAGTGCCCCGATGCGGAACCACACACTTTGTCCCGTCTCACAAATTTAATTCCCTCATTTGGAAACTCCGGCCGACCCCACATCTAACTCCTGATGCCTGGTTGTTCATTGCTAACTGGTATCTAGGGAACGCTGAGTTAGTGGATGATCTGAACTGTTAGAACGGCTCCATTAACCATTCCACCCTGTCATGTGTGGAACAGCAGTGATGAGAAATGTAACTATAAAAGAATCTCACAGTTGACCAGATGCTGAGGACAGCGTGTCCTCTCGTGGCGTTGCTGTGTGATCTCTGGGACCAGTAGGAGGGGAGTAGAAACACAAACAAAGGGATTTTACTTTTGGAGCCAACAAAGTGCTACAATAACATAAACAAATACTACAACTAATAACCCTATATCCACAATTTTATGGATTTTTATTTCATTCTGTTATTAAGTGTAGTTGTAAGTATAAAGGCTTTCATAGTATATACACATTAACAGTGTGTGCTGATATGTGAAACAATGGATGATCGAAACCAAAACAATGAAAGTCTGTAAGGATGTTAAAAAGCTGTTGTAAATCGATGCTTGCAACATTTTCAGCTCTTTTTTATTTGTATTGTGCCAAATCACAACACACATATCTCAAGTCTGTTAGATCATAAGGTCGAGACCTTACAATAGGGTCAAGGGAGAGAGGAGAGAAATGGGAGAGATAAAGCGAAGAGCAACCGCAGAAACAGTTGAGATACTGAAGCAATGTCAGACTGGTTGTTATACTGACTGTAGTAATTGTGATAAAGATAACAGTCATGCAAATAATAAATAATGGGGTATAATAATTAAAGTAATAACAAGAATGGCACTCATTAGAGGGCCTAGCTCTGCCACACGGTTGTTGAGTCCTAAAAAAATCTTCATTTTTCTGAAAATAATCAGAGGACTGATGTCTATTTTTTTGTGGTTTTGATTATGTGGTATTGAAATGGTGAGAGGGACTTCTGGACACGGCCCCAGTCTGCATGAATCAGGACCCCAAAGTTAATG